AAATAAAATGGAGCATTATGGAAAATGCTCGGTTCAAAAATCGCTTCTTTGATAATAGAGTATTTTCCTGGAAATAAAGCTGCATTATCGGATAGTGCTCTGTTCAGAAGTCCACCCTTAGTTTTCTGCCTGCTCTCAGAAAAATGAATTAGCTCATAACGATAAAGTATGTTTCTATGACATGCTATCATGCCGTGAAGTACCGTCAGCTGTTTTAATGTCGAACATTAGCATCTCGGTCCGCAGTCACATGTTTTAGGAAATAATTCATTTTGATTTATTTAAACAATTTGTTTTTTTCTTATTAGTACAGTGCTAGCTATGCTATTTAGATAAACTCCTAGCCTCTGTCTACAGATAAAACATTGGGTGTTAGGAGGGCCTCGGAGGAATATATATAAATGTGTCTCTGTATCTGAATCACGTCATGCGAGGCTTTTGTTTTCTTAAAAACTAGAATCATTTTTGTTCATATGCACACTGCCTGCTATATTCAAATTCTATAGTTTGATTTGAATTCCAACTCATCAGGATGGTTTTCGAAATTTGTGTTTTTTTTTAATTACTCAAATAAATGCAGTTTATGATCATGTATGATTGTTACTACAATAGATAATTTGAAGTAATAAGTCATACACTCTGATTTGCCCATGGACCGGTTGTTAGAAGGGAGGGAAGAAATGCGGAGATTGAGAATCGAGTGAGCATGTTTAATGCCCGTGGTAGGTGATCGGTTGATGGTGTATGCAGTATGCGTAGTTGATCCCGGGTTCGTGCTGAGATGGGAAGAGGTGGTCGATATCCCTATTGGCGCCGTCCCTTCCCCCCGCTTCCCTTCGCCTAGGCATTGCGAATGCATTAGTGAGAGTGGTGTTTTTGATGAAACACTGGTATCTGGCATCCTGCAGCTGGCGAAAGGTCAATCCCGTACCTCTTTGAAGGTACTTTAACCCTTTCATGCCCAAATTGTTTCAAACATGGGAAAATATTCCATTTAATTTTGTAGATTCGACAAGGAATTTAAAATATTAAAATTGTATGGAGGAAAGACCATGCAACCTTGATTAGTTCTACTAGCTATCAAATTCTTATATACCGTTGTATTTTTCGCATCATCTTTCTCCTTTTCCTTATCTAAATTAGAAAAACATGGTCAAAATAGCTGGGGAAAGGATTCCTGAAGACTTCATCTTCTCCATGTTAAAAACTTCAAAGTTCCCTCTCTTGGATCTGCTCTAGAAGTGTGCAGAGACACCACTGACACATGGTAGAAAAATAATCAGATACTTTGCATTGCTTTTGGTAAAGCTGACTAAAAAGCTATTGCTCAAGAAAAAGTTATTATGCGAGGCAAGGAAAGACTTGAAATGTGATACTCAATGGAACCTATGGGCATCCAAGGGTTAATTACTGCCAGGACCTGAAGCTCAATATTTGAGATCTCGAAAAGAGCACTTCAGATTTTTTACCATCGGCACCTCACTTTCGAAATTAATCCATTAGTTTTTAGTATAAGGCACCCAGTTGGTTTTTCATTGGTAAGTAATTTTTCATTACATTGAGTACTTGTTGAGTGTACGCCAACCCAAGATGCCGACATGCCTCCTTTATCGAGACAGTCTGAAAATGTCATAATTGGGCTGTACTTCACAAAAATTACTCTAGTACTGCCACTATTTGCATGCTTGCAAGTACTTACTTGCACGTACTTGCAAGTTCTGCGTACTTAGGTGCGCAGAACTTTCGACCTCCAAATAGCACGCCCAAGGCAAGTCTATCAGTGCCTCATTGAAATCTGTAGCAGATTGGTTTCACCTGAGGCTAGGAGTGGGAGTGTTTGGTTCCTGTTGATAAAAATTACCAGTATGAAGATGAAATGGGAGGCGTCTTTTGATTTATATTTCCTAAGCATGCGCGTTGTGTAATACGTGGGAATGATTCCGCTCTGAATGACGGCACAGCCCTTGATCGTAAGCCAACAAACCATGTTGATGAATTGATTGCCTATGGTGTGCGAGTTGCCCAAGAAAGAGACTTTGTATCTAGTATTGCGAGCTTCTTTTTCTGCTTTTTCACGGTCTTAATTGCAGCTTGATTATAATTGGAATATTTATTGATTGGGACATTGTACGCTGCCACTGGCAGATGCATCTCGTTATATGTTGTAGGGCAGAACGGAGGAGACGATGTCGTGCATAAGTTTAGCGTGGATGGAAAATCGGGGGGGGGGGGACACGACAGGAATCCTAGGACACTTCTCAGACATTACATGCGTCCTCGTCTACAGTACTTTTATTTATTTTTCTGAAAAGCGAGGTGGCACGTGTCCCCATCTCCCTGGCTCCCCCGACGCTACTCCGCTGGTGTCTCAGAAGGTCGTCCGAGTAAGAGCCTGGTCCAACTCTTTATCTCGATACGTAGGGACGATTTACCTTTTAGGCACAAAGACGACATTCTGTTAGGCGTTTCTTGCGATCTCGAAATTATCGATCAAAGGTTTCTTTCTTGCCTTGGGCCCTCAGGGATTTTTCTTTCTGGCAATTCTATGGTAACGGACGTGTCATACATACATTCTAGCTTTTTCGGTTCCCAATATAATTATTTTCCTCCCACCCTTGTTAGTTGGTGTGAATGACTTGGTTCCCAAGGTCCCCCCTCCAGTGATAATTGGTGACATCTGGATTTATAGTTCTGCTCTGCCCTTTTGTGTGTAACAGACGTGACACTGCAAATGACCCAGCTGTAGACTGTTTTGCTCTTGCACTTTTCTTGTGAAATAGCATGAAACTTCAATTTCTATTAAGCTTTTTCGCAAATGCCCTGATTCTAATTTCGACAGTAAAAAATACTTAGGTGGTTGTTTGCTGCAAATTTTTTGCGCCAGTTTTTTTGTTCACAATTAGCGGACGCGATGTGCATGTAACGGCTGTGACATCTGAGTTGATGACTCAGCAGGGTAGAGCCAAGGCGCTACGACTTAGAGGCTAGAGGGATTGGTGAGCTTTGCTCTTGCAACAACCTTATTAGAAGATGTAAGAATACTCCTTTTCAGATGTAAGTACGAAGTCCTCTAGAAAAGTATATTTCTCATGCTCTCTACACCTTTGCTGTCGCAACTGATCTGCCTTACACTTTTGTTTCAAACCATTTGCTTCCTGAAAAAATTCTAATGAATTTTTTCACAGCTCACCCTGTGTCTATAGGGTGCCACTCGCTCTTTAGTTCTTTTCCTCCATTAGGGAAGGTACACGTTTGGCTGCATGCAAAATGCAGCCAACTGTGATTACCTATTAATATAAAAAAGCCGAGCATCTAAGAGCTTTACTTAATGATACTGAACACTTGGCAACTGACTTGGCATGCCTGTGCCAATTTTAGTATTTTGGTTTTTTCCCCCTCAGAGTTGTCTGAATGCACCTGTTGTCATATAAGCATTGAAAACATCATAGCCGCATTGCCTAAATCAGTTAATATTTCAGTTGTCTATCATCAGTGAGCTAGTTCAGTTCTGGTGTTATCAATTTGGATTATTCCATCCCAGCCTACCAACACGCCTATAAAGTATTGTCGCTTCTTTATAGCTGCGTTTGGGAATCGAACAGCCTATTGATGTCTTCTTCACAGATAATAATATTTTGAGTCAGGATCTTGCATATTGATTGCTAAATCTTTCAAATATCATATTGCATAAAACGGAGGTGACTCTATAGGTACTCTTAGATCCGTTACAGTGCAGGTGTCACGTCTGTTACGCGTCTTTGCAGAAAGGTTGTCGTTCAGACCTTTACTTCTCTCTCCCATAGAGCCCCTAACTGAGTTGGTTCATGATGCACCTTGTTTCTTTCTGGAGTTACACTGTGTTCATTAAATCACTGAAACTGGGAGAAAAAAAAAACTGTAGCAAATGTGACAGCTTGTGATTATCTTTTGCAATATATATCACGAAGCCAATCTAGTCTGTTCATTTCCGATGAAGAAACCAAAATAGTGTTTAATAAAATGTCATTCTACTGGCCAAAAACATCTATTGGGTTATATAGAGCTCTATAAAACAGACTTTTTAAGTGCTTAGCAGCCCTAAATTATATTCCATATTATTCAAATGCATCTTTTGTCCAAGAATAACTGGACACTTGAAAATGATATACTTGACTGATAGGCAAAGAAAGCTCGTAATTGACATTGCTTGGCAGGTTTCGCATATTCTGAATGAATTTTTGTCATGTTCTCTTTTTCGTTGAGTAGCTCATTTGCATTTGAGAGTTGTGCTTCCACGTGATGTTAAATGTGTGAATTGAAATGAATTTGTGAAATGATTTTTTTATTTCTCTGTATAGGACGCCGCCAGATGGATAGATAAGCACGGAGAGATGCCCGATCCTTTGGGACCATGCGGAAGACGCAAGGGGGTCTGGAGGCGACGGAAAGACAGAGCCAAAGGACTTCACTTTGACAAGGAGAACAACAAGGTGAGAATTCCTACGACAGTGGAGAGAAGTAGCTCGTCCCTTAACTGTAGGCAAGGTCCCCATCATTGTCCGATTCAAATACAATTGTTTTGAGATCGGATACTCATTATTTACTTACTTACAAAAACCAGTTCATCGTTGAATTGCTAGTGTCAAGAATGTTTTGAACATGTTAGTTCATGAGGGTATGCATTGCTTCCGTGTTACAGGATGGCGCCTGAACATAAGGTTTCAATGGGAATCACGTGATATGTTTTCAGTTACATTGCAATTTACGACAGTTAAGTACCGGTATTATGAAGAATTTCATGGGACTTAGTGAAGTCTGGGTAACCCCCATATCGGGGAGAGTTTAATGTACCAAAAACATCTTTGTTTATCAAATTTTTATATGTTATTGATGAGAAAAATAATGAAAATATTATCCTTTCATTTTGGTTTTTCCATTGTATTAATATTATAATGCATTTCAATGCAAAGCAGAGCGTGCCATATCTGGCACACCATGCAGTGTAGGGTTAAATAAAAGACTGAGGCCTTTCTGGCTCCTTTCTCCAGGAGTTCAAAACTAGATGAAAGCAAACTCCCGGTGCAGGCTTTGAAATTCGATTTTTTTTCAATAGGTGTTCATTTCCATCGGCGATCTCCCACGATTCGAATCAAGACGACATATGGATCATGCGTCTAACTTGAATACTCGGTATAGCGTTGGTGCACTGGTTTTCTCTAACAGACCTATTTAAGGTCTCTGCTAGGTCGTCGAAATTTCTCCTCCCATATTTAAGGAGGTCGCTGGGGGAGGGGAGTGCAAAAATAAGAAGTTTGAGAACCTCTGGTTTAATTATTTAATGCTTCTTATCTGCTGGTGGTATCTTCGAAGGTGATATGTATATCATCCTATCAGTATGAATCAAGCATATTGAATATTTAGAGAGAATTCCTCCGGCTAAAAAGTGAAAAGTTGGATGCACTGAATGTCAATATAATTGTTAGACCCGAGGGAATCGCCTTCCGCATCCATCACTGCCATCAATTGCTGGACGCACCCAATTTCGTAATGTCGCTTCAACGACGACTTTGATATAGATTCATAATTTTCACTGGATTCGTGGAGTCGTGGAAGGTAACAAAGCAGACATATCCCAGTCATAAAAAAAATTCTGAAATTATCATGAAACAACCCGCTTTAAAATGGAATGAATTTTATTTCTCAACACTAGCGATTCAACAATGAACCAGTTTTTGCATGTAAGGAAATATTAAGTATCATATCTCAAAATAATTGTACAGGGTGTCCCAAAAGGTATGGAAACATTTCAAAAATTATTTTCTCGCTAAGTTATGCCTCAAATAAAATGATAAAAACAGTAAAATGAAGTGGAACTCAAACATTTTTCAACCTGTCATTCCAATTCCACATGGGCACTATTTGTGTCCCTGTAGACGTCCAAACGAGCTCTTACCACAACTTACGCAGAGTGTCATGTATGGATAGCTACAACAATTCTGTTCTTCAGATCAGATTGGAGATTGCTTGCTCAAGAAAAGTTGACAATGTCCTTGACATAGCCCCACAAGAAAAAAAAAATCTAAGAGGGATAGGTTCAGGCACAATTCAAGTCTAATTTTCTAAGATGTTGCAACTCCACATTTTAGCAAGCTAAGGCATGGGAGGAAAAAAGATCGGTGGATTGGACAAAGCAGGTTCATTCCATGGCCACCAAGATCACCTGAACTAACCCTAGAGGGCTCTTTCTTGTGGGCTACGTCAAGGACATCATTACTGGAGAAAAATAGTCAATCGATCAAGATCCAAGGAACAGAATCGTCCGAGCTATCCTGATAGTTATGCCTAACACTCTGGAAAAGGTGTGGTAAGAGCTCGAACATCGCTTAGACATCTACAGAATCACAAATGCTGCCCATGTGGAATTGCAATAGCAGGTTGAAAAATGTTTGAGTTGCACTTTATTTTACTGTTTTTATCATTTTATTTGAGGCGTTATTTAGATTAATTTTTTAAATGTTTCCATACCTTTTGAGACACCCTGTATTCCTTTGGCCTTTTGTCCACCATGCTTCTGCTCGTGGGGCGGTTTTGAAAGGGTAGTTGGGTCAGGATCAAATTCCAGTGTAATTAGGTCCTGCTGAACGATTCAGCGTCTTCAGGAACGTTGGACTCCAGAGGGTAATGGCAAAAGCTTGTTCCAGCGTTTTAAGACCTGCTTTTTCGTTAGTATGTAGAGACCGAGCTGCTAGACATCTCACGAAGAAGCGTGAAGGATACTTCAGAATTGACAAATAGATAGACCCCTTAGGCCTGTGCTAAATTTAAGTCTATGCTTAATGTAATTCTAAAGTGACATGAACACATTCCGGCTGCCAAGGACTGTTTTTTGCTTGTGCTAATCTAAATCTAGTCTAAAAGCAAAAGTCCAAAGTACATTTTATCTTGAGCTAAAACTTTGTTGTTTTGTTTTGTCTGTCCTGACTCAGTCTAATGCTGCAAAAAAATGTTGGGATGAAGGGAAAGAGCTCTGAGTAACGTTCATCGAGATGCGTGACTGTGAACTCTATGATATTATGACTGCACGGATGAGGGACCTTTCGGGTTTAAGCCGCACTGGTTTTATCTGCACGTACAAGTCCAAAATCATTGCACAAAACTTTTTGGAGAATACCTGGGTGATTAATAAATAATTTCTATAGTCCTATTGGCTATACAAAGTGAAAAACACATTTTGGTCGAACAATTGCTTCGTTGCTTGAGGTAATCTCCCTTGAATTGGATACACTTGACCCAACGATCCACGATTTTTGCTGGTGCCTAAGAGGGCCCTTTTTCGGGTGACCGTCTATGCAATGGACTGCAATCTCTTCTCATGAGTTGTCAGAACATTCTCAATGGAGTTCGTTTTTCATGACGAAGCAGATGGAAGATTTCAAGCTATGAAGCAATTTTTTTTTTTTACCAATTGTATGTCTTTCTCATTATATGGCCAATGGGGTGACAACTTTTTCATCATCTTTCGAATTCATTGAATATGAGTTGTGATGAAGGTTCTGTGAAGCTTTTCACTTCGGTTCATCACCATTTGACATGTGTTTTCACCGTTTTACTTGCTATGTTTGCTATATGCTAGAGGGTCCATATCCCACTTCATGCATCAGAGATAACCTGACCCCGAATGCTAGTGTTCGCAACTTTTCTGAAGCTGAGGCCTTCCTTTTGCACGGCCTGTATTTGATCATTTGAAGAACTTGATTACTGTGTCTGTAGTTAAAAACCATGAATCGTGAGGCCAAGGATTGTAGACTATTAGATCTGAAAATAGTTGAATCTGTCTCATTTTGCCCCATGACAGATAAGTTAGTAATAAGTTAGGAAAATTAAATGAAAAGTTTTTCAAAATCAATTGCTTACACGACAAGAGAAAGCATGATACGTAAGTAAACCGTAGGAAGCAGATTTGTATCTACTCTTATACCTCTAAATTGAAATTCTAAAAAAAAATAAATACTCTTTTTAGTTGTAGACTTGCATGAAAAGTTTGGCAAAACTGAAATGAAGCGCGTTGTTACTACTTTTATGAACGTAGCTATTTGAGGACTCTTTTCTGGAAAGGTGCAGCATCTAACGAGCTAAATTCTAGTTTCTCAGAAAAATACGACTAATAATAATTCGAATCATTATGCCATAACTTTAATATTTTATCCCATGTCTCGTTTGCCCCGTCTACATGCGACTCTGACGTGTCGTCGGAGAATACTCAGGTAGGCGAATAAGAAAATCCTGTGGTTCCATTGGTGGGAGTGAGACCGTGGGACAGCCGTACATACTCACAACGAATGCAGACTCTCATGTGCGAAAAAAAAACATGTGAAATGGGGTTGGGGCGAGGGGGAAGGGCCCTGTGGGACGGAGATGGTAGAGATGTGGTTCCCTCCATCTCCAACAGATGTAACCCATGTCTTACTCGAAAAATTGAATACGGCTGCCGGTCTTCCGGATGGTTCCTCCTCCTACTCACATGCTGCGCTTTTAAATATGGCACCTACTCAGCCGCAGATGGTTCAACAGTAATGATATTTCTGGACTTCTCTCATGGTCGAGTCTCAGAAGTTGTATTATTTTCTTTATTAACTGCGAATACGCAGGTTGTCTGAGATAGGAGGACGCCATCAGTGAAACCAAAAGGCATCCTCGTGGAACTGATCGCCGCCATTTGCAACTGTACTGCTCTGTACGTTTGGAAGCAACTGTGCTGAGTGTCAGCTGACTCACTGGCTGAATTAAAGAACCATCTCCCCCCTTTCGCGCGTACGCATTTAAGCATGAGTTTTGACCTAGGTGGATCTGCCTGAGTACGCAATGTTGTGATTTTAAACGTATCACACCGTAATTAATTATTGTAAATTGATTGATATATTTCCAAGTGTAATTCAACAGAATGATGTGCGAAAATCGCACATGAACGGATGGGGGGGGGGGGGGAGTTTTTTGGGGGGAACGCTGTCGTTCCCCCCAAAAAACTCACTCGTGAATGGGTTAAATACCTTTCAAAGTGTGTTACCCATCCCTCGGAATCGATTCCTCTGTTTTCTTCCTCGCATTTTTGTTCCCCATGAAGGCTTCGCCATCCAAGGCACTGGCATATTTTCTTGTCTCCTTGATGCTTGATTCACTCTACTTAGCGACATGCAAACAGCCTCTTGTATGAAAATGAGCATATGGCCGCATTTGCACTAAGAGATTGGAAAGAATCATGCGATTCTGACGAGGAGCAGGTGAAGTGAATTTGGCAGAAACCAATGGCAATGGTCTAGGCTGATATCCCACATGGCCACTTGTAGCGTTGAAGTCGAGATAACAGAAGGTATCCCGTTCGCAGTATCAATGACCTTCGCGTGAAGAACCTTCGCATGACTAGCACTTGGACTGCCCATGTGTAAAGAAGATAGAGTGGTAATGCAAACGAGGCATTATGTTACTTTCTGTCTTTTCTACAGGTGAAAGAAAGGCTATTTCTCGGATTCGACTTTTTTTCTGTGGCACAAAGTCATTAGTGCTGAAATCGTCACATCAGGTCGTGCATTCATTAATGGTTGATTGCCATTGTTTCTACCATGAAAATCATACATGAGGAATAATCGCTTAGTGACCAGATTAAGAGACAACGCACGAAATTTAAAGCGGACATGATTGTATTTGTAAAGAGTATAGCCTATGTTCATGAATTCATAACGAATTCCAATGACTGCGTTGTTGTGCCGCATCACGCACTGAAATGTTCCGATGGGCGACAACGCAGTATCCATTGAATTCCATTGAGCTTGGTGTGATACTCCGGAGTAGAAATGCTCACCGCAAAGGAAGGGTTAGCCTACTAGACAGTGCCGTTTCAGTGACAGTTTTTTACTGACTGCTCTTGGTGCATTCACGCTGCTTGAAAACCTTGTCCCGTCTCGGTAGGATTGGACATCGGGCTCCGAATAGAAGGAACGACATGAGAAGTGCTCTCAACGCCTGTAAATTGTGGCGTAGTACTTCGCAGTCACTATCTTTGAAAATTTTCTGCTCCTGAGGAGTGCGAAGGACCTAACCGAGTGGCCTGCCTTGAACCATTTGATGATCGTGAGGACTTTTGATCAAATGTAAAAATTAAGCATCGAGTATGTACAAGTTGGGACAGACTGTATTTAGACACGGGCTGCGTTATACCCACGTAAACCACTAAGGATGTAGCACTAGATGATGTAGATGATGTAGCACTAACCATGGCAGTGCTACATCATCTACCTCTGTTACTATCCAGGCCCAAGCTTCGCCCTCGTTCTTTCCAAATTGTTGCATAATTTGTGTGCTCTCTCATTCTGGTAGGTGTTAGGAGACTTGGAAGATGGGATGCAAGAGCCCGTGAACAACGGCTTCACTTCTTCCCAAGATGTCCTCTCCGACGTAAGTGGCTCTTCATTTCTCCCTCTCCTTTCGCTTTCTCAAAAATTTTAGTTCGTCATCTCGTGAAGAGTCTCTGCAAAAAGAGACTTTCAGTGCCTTAAATGAGAAGGAAGGAGATGTGCATTCGTGTGGATGACTCCTGTCAGCGTTGATGGCCTTGATCTTGATCACGCCATCTTCGTCCTAACCGACAGGACCCATTTGATGAGGGGAAAAAGGAAAACGTCAAATCTGGCATGACATTTATAAAGCGAGATTTTCTTCATAATGATGCAAATTTTAAGGGATTATATATTAATGTGCTAACTGATCCCTTGGCGTGAAATGTTCGGTCGTGATAAAAGGCAAAGTTTTGTTTTGGGACGGATGAAGACGGGAACAGAATGGGTTGAGAAAAGACAATTCCCTTCATGCAGGCTCGTTAGGCCCCACCATAGAATCCAATTTCCTTTTCCCCCTTGTTCAGAGGTGGAAGAGGTCTGGACGAGGGGAAGATGTGGACAGGCTTTTTTTTTAAGGGAAAATTGGGGGGAAGGAGAAAAATTTGGAATTCATGGCTAATTCATGGGAGGGGAAGAAAGATTATTGAATTTCCCCTTCTTCCCTCTTTCCGGGACAAGGGAGAACGAAATTTCTCTTCCTTCCCCCCCCCCCTTATTGTCTCCCCCTTTTTTCCTTGCCCTCATTGAATTTCGTGTAGGAACCGTGCCTCACCCCCGTTTTCTCCCCCTTTTCCTTCTTGACAAGGGAAAATGGGAGGAAGAGCGGGACTTTTTCCCTCTCCGTTCCGTTACCAAAAGGACTTGTCTGTCCTCGAGAGCTTTTTTTTTTAATATATTTTTTATTTGCAAAGGGATGGCCATTCTTTAGCATCGTCTGCACTCGGAACATGTGCAGTTTACCGTCAAGAAGTGAAAATGAGATGTCGATGTTCATTCTGTGAGTGGAAACATGAGTGGATGGAGTGAATGTGACTTTTGATTTTTGCACGCGGTGACATTATTGGATTTCCTGTAGTCTTCATAAGTCCCCTTTCTCTTTTACTCCAGGGTTCCAGTGGCTCCAGTTCGGGACGGGGATACATCGTAAGTGTAAATCTCTTTCCCCTTTTAGGCCTATTATGACTCACTCCATAAGTTAAAAAAAACTTATAGCCTACAAATAAAGATGAGTAATTCAAGCCCATTAATTAGACTGTCACATTCCTAATTAGCTCGTGCAAGTTTTGTCTTGACCTGTTGACACTTAGTGACATTGAAACATTTTTAAGTGGCAGCGGGTAGTGAAGTTTCGTTCGCTACAATTCTCCCCATAGCTGAACTGACCCGTTTTCACCTCTATACTTTGTTTTCTACAACTGGAAGAGCAGTTCATCAGGTGGTGCTTGCCTTGGTGAAATGTCCAGAGTATTGGACGCCATGCCCCTTCATGTGCAAAGAAGCAACCATTGACTTGGTGCGACCGATAATGAAGATCTTTCTGGTCCGGGATCTTTGATCAACTGGCACACGAAAGGCAATGTTTACTTCTGCCACTGCTATCAGAGGGTGCCATGATCAGGGCTTGTCTTTAGAGTCATTTCCCCTCACACTTGAGTAGAGGGTACCTAATGAACACATATGCTTATGAGGAGGCTTGGTCCCCAATACCCTGGACATTATATTTGAGTTGCATCACCAGATGCTTTCAGTTCTCTTTCAGTTATAGAAAATTATTGTCTAGAACGAGGATAGTTCAGCCATGGGGGGTGGTTGCTCTTAGAGACATTTCATTAGTTCCTGCCTCTTCAATGTCACTAAATGTCATCAGGTCAGGAGGAGACTTACACGATCAGCCTAGGGATGCGTTTAACAAGGTAATGGACTTAATCATCTTCATTTGTCGGCGAAAAGTCTGAAAACGTACCGAGTGACCCTTGTACATCTATCTTCATAGTGTACTCACTTTTTTCAATTCCCTGAAACTATCCGAGATTTCACTTGCCGAACTGCGTCCAACTTCCGTCTCGGGAAAACAGTATTAAAGGACTATTCGATGGGTAAAAATATGAGTTCTCAGATTTGAGTCATATTTTATTGTCACATTCCATTTGGATGGCTAATGATGGTCCTGGAGTATTTCTTTTGGATCTTCACAGGTTTTTATAAATACGCATTACCCTTTGGGGTCCTGTGTCCACACATGTAGACAAACATCTGAATTTTCAGCAGTTTTCTGTGGCAATCCAACAGATTTGTACCATGTCTTGGTAACACATTGTCTCGAGTGTACATGTCAATGTTTTCATCAAATGTGAGCTATTGTTTGCCACCAGACATTTGGCAGTATTTCATGGTATCAAGAGTTTATAGAGCCAGCCAAGCATCAGCAGAGACGCAAGTGCTGCTAGTTAATATGAGCAGTACTCTGAATCTTTCGTTTATATAAACGACACTTTTATTTCGAAAATTACAACATAGTGAACAAAAAATTTCAGTTTTTTTTTGTCAGTTGAATAAGTTTTGTCACATGCATGCAATGTCAGCACAGATTGTTTGAGAGTTTGGAGCAGAGTAATCCTGCTCCTCATGGATTGGTATTGAGTTCCTAAAGTGTTTTTGATAGTTACTTTAGGTAATGAGGAGCATCGCAATGGTATTAACTCAAACACTCCCTTGACTATTCTCCCCCACCCTCTTAACATTTCATTCACGTTCCTATATAAATATATTACTACAAGCCCCTAAACCTGTCAATATATCTATATAACGAATTTTCCTTATGACAAATTTTAACACAATTTTCCTCATAACGAAAATGACAGCATACTTCTTGGTAAGACCTATCACGAATTACATGTCGTTACGTTGTGTAGTTCGCGCAAAGGCCGTGCCCGTACATCGCACAGGCATAGGCCTCATTGTATTAAAGGTGTGATGGAGGATAGCGATGACATAATAAAGGAACGTACTGAAGAAGACCTAGTCCGTTCTTGCCTTTATTGTTCTTGTTGACGAAAGGATTCACATAACGACTACATAAGGAGTATATGTTCATGAATATTCTCCCTGCATGGCTCATCAGTATTCGAAGGGGGAGTGAGAGAGGGAGAAATCCTCTGAGTCCCTGCTCATTTTGACTCGTCGACTTCATTAAGGGATCCCCCCCAAGGGGTTGAAAATCATGTAGTCTCCCCCAGACACCACCCCATTCCAAGATTATGCATTATTCAGGCTCGTGCTTGGCTTTCCCTTTCCCTTATGCCCCTCAAGGTTCTTGGTTTTTTTTTTATACCGGTATGTCTCTCTCTTCGGTCGGTCGTGTTAATCCGCGTATGGCGTGACGGGATACTGGCACTTGAGTCATCAGCGTGATTAACCACCCTATAACCTATTATTATGGGGCTACTAGTTGATGATCAGTTCCTTTCTCACACAGACACATACACAAATGCGGTTCGCTCATTTTCCGTCACACCTCGGACGAGCCAGTTGATCGCATTAAAGAGAGGTTGACCAGATGTGGGAAGCGGATGGGGAGGAAGGTCTGAAGGGATAAGGAAAAGGGCAGCTGGTGGGCTGGGTCCGCATGGTGTCGCCCATGACTCCGACCAGTGCTGCCAGAACGTGAATTGTTTTCCCCACTCGACTGCAACGAGGATGTAATGGAAAGCAGCCCCTTTGATCCTCTGGCAACCCTGGGTCCGGGCCGAGCAGGAGCAGACGAGCAGCAGCTCCCACAGTTGCGTCAGTTGAGTGGCTGACTCTGCGGAGGCAGTATCGCTTGAGTCTCTCGCCTTGTTTTTATATTCCGGCGCCATCTTTACTTATTTAGCGATCTCCTTGTGGCGCATTTCACACGAGTCAAGTGCTGTGCTCTTCCGTGAACCATCCCCTTTCAGAGGTACGGTGGTCCCCATATTACGTCGTGATCATTTTCTCGAAGGCGATGTTTGTGGAAGTGCGTTTGGGTGTTGCGACAAGTAGAAGGAAAGCGTCCTATATTTTGTGCATATTTCTATACACGTGTGCGATATACACAGTGTATTCGTTTTGTTTTCCTGGCGCCAGCCGTTTGATTTCCCTTGCCTCGCACAGCGGGAAGAGGTAGAGGAGGGAGGCAAAAAGGGAGTGTCCCCCCATCCCTGAGAGTGCATGCGTGGCGAAAACGGTTTACCCATGACGACCGTCTCTGCGTGCCGGGGCTGGCTTAGGGGTATTAGATGAAAAGAGGAGGAAGAGGGGATAATACACAAGAGATCGCTTTCAATCCTCTCAGCCCCCCCCCCACTCGAGCGGAAAACGCCCGACGAGACTGGAGAAAGGAAGGAGGGAAAAAAAGAGCAACTGATTAAAATTCATGCCCTTCTCCTTTATCGACGAGGGGATGGATAAGCCACATCCCCTGAAAGTCGTTCTCCCTTTTCTCCACTCCTGTTTTCCTTTCCTGTTTTTTTTTCTCTCTCTCAATGGAAGCTCCGGCTGTTGGCAGGAACATCGTTTGCGAATGGTGTTGGTCTGCCGTTCAAGATTAATGAAGACTCTTAGATTTTTTCTTATATTGCAGAATTGTTTTAATTTTTTACCCCCCAATTGTAATTTGTTGCCGGAACAGAGCCTAGTGGGTGGTGGGAGGTCATCATTAGTGTTGCCCTTTTAAGGGAAAAAAGGACTCGACAGGGGTTCTTCTCACCAGGAACCATTAGCATATTAACAGGGATGGGTTCCCCCCAGGCATTAATTTTTTTAATGCGTACATCTCGGTTCGTATGTATCGGGCGCCCTACGTGAATAATCGGAAAAGGGAATACTAGGACGACGACGGCGGCGATAAAAATGACTCGATCCGCCGATAAGGATCGGAAGGAATGCCTTTGTGGGATCAGGGAAGCGTGACAGGTCTCCCTCATATACAATGGACGTTCCTTTTTTTTTATCTATCTCCCCCCTACGTGGACCAGTTGCCCTGCCTAATTGCCCTGCGGTGATATTAGATCTCCCCCCATTCCTCTATTATGTGCGATAGACCGAAAGTCTCAGAGGGGGGGCCTGATGTTTTTTATTCCTCTCCCTGGGACACCATTATCTTGATCATCATCAGCAATAAATATTATCGCGTTGGTGTAATGCGACCCTTTTTTCCCATGGGGGTCTCTTCCCTCAGGGATCCCGTTGCACGAAGCTAAGAGAAAAACAGAAGACAGCTGTGGACAGGTGCCTGGGGTTGTGACACGTCCCCGTGATTCTAGTCACATCATCGCGCACCCCCTTTTTCGGTTTTATTTTCTGGTCCTGTAGAACCGGGACATGAATCAACTAGGTCTGGTTCCTTTTTCGAGAGCATCTGACAGTTACGACTTCATTCCTGGATGGCCTTTTTTGGGTAAAAGACAAATTGAAGGAAGATTCCTGTGGACACCTACAGTCCCTGCTGCCTCTGTTTTACATTCCGACTGTAATATGTTGTAAATTTGCCATTTTGGAATAAGTAATTGATAAATCGAAACTTCATTCATGTATAGTGACATTCGTTTCCAAAATAATGCAGATAGAAACCCAGTGAGGCAATTTAAAGACTGACTTACCAATCTTGTGAAGTTTTAAGTAATATTTTAGATAGTTAAATTTAGACATGATGCTGAAGTTTTAGGGTTCGTATAATTTTGTTTAGAATCCCAGCTGCAATTTGTATGATGTGACAATATGATGCAATAATCTTATTGCGAGCCAGGCTGTGATTGAGAGGCCATGTGATAATCCCACATGTGTGCGCGTGCGTGCGAGCTGATGTGGAACCGCCAGTTTTCCACGGTCACGGTTTCATGCAAATGACCTGGGCTATCGGCCTACATTATCCCCATCTATTCCTTATAAATGCACAGAGACCTTGTGTGAATAGCCCAGGCAAGCCCCCGTTGAGAGAGACAGGCAGACCGACCGACCCAGCTGTCCTTTTCTCTACAGATTATGGTGATAAGGCCTCTTTTGCGTGACTCGCGGTTTACCTTTGCATCGAGGGGGAAAGCTCACTCGCTCTTTCAACTGGCTCTTTTCCCCTCCCTGCATTAGTGGGTTGTAATTTTTTCAGGTCTGTTTCTCCATGCCCCCCCCCCCCCCGTCTCTTTCATTCATTGGCAGCTGAGGGAAGGGAGGAAAAAAAAAACGAGCAAAAAAAAAGTGCGACAGACGACACTCTCGTCGTCGGCTTGTTTCCCATCCATCACCGTTATGTCGACCTCTATATCCTGTCTCCCTCAAACGCACATAATATGCGCATGTGCTTCCCACCCGCTGATTTATTTTGTTTGCCAGAGGTTGTGCGACAAAGCCTGGGGGAGGGAGAAAACGGGATTTGCGCGTTTGGCATTCAGGGTACATCCCCCGAAAGTAGGAAAATTTGTTGCTCGATATGTCAGCTTTAGGTTTTCCATTCAATTTTCGCGCTTTCACCTAATTGGTTATTATTCTCTCTTTTTCAGTGTGATAGCGAGAGCGAGGACGACAAGGTAAGCACATTCC